TTCTTTCTTTCTTTCTTCTTTCTTTCTTCTTTCTTTCTTTCTTTCTTTCTTTCTTTCTTTCTTTCTTTCTTTCTTTCTTTCTTTTTCTTTCTTTCTTTTTTTTTCAGAACTGGGGATTGAACTCAGGCCCTTGTGCTTGCCAGGGAAACGCTTATTTCACTGAGCCATCTCCCGGGCCCTCCAGCCTTGTTTTAAGAAACAGTCTTGCCACGTTGCCCTAGCTGACCTTGAATTGCTGGCTGAGAGTCCTCCTGCCTCAGACTCCCAAGCAGCTGGGATTACAAGCATGCACCACTGCCTCTGGTTCAAAAGAATTTTACTTTTAATAAGTAGTCATATTGACTATTAATATCAGCCATATTTAGGAAACACTGTTCTACTCTGAACCTCTTAATTTAGAAAATTAGAGATGAAGAAACAGGTTCAGAAAAGGGATCAGGCTTACCCAAGATCATACAGCTAGTCAGTGACTACTGGGTAGAGATGAATCTTTTTGTCCAACCATTCATCCTAGCAGCTTTATGTGGAATTCCTTACATACAGTGTTGTGTTTCATATATTGTGGGCTACTTAGTATATACCTACATGAAAGAACAAAATTAATACCCACTAGCTGCCAGGACTTTATGGTAGCTAGATATTACTGGATAGGAAAATTTAGATAGGGTCCAGCAAAAAAGACATGGAAGGTAGATTTGGAACTGGGGCAATGGGCAGCTTAAGTCAATAAAGCAAGAAACATAGCACAGAGCACAGCACTACACAGCACTTTGGAATCCTCAGCCTTGGAGGAGGTGAAAGTGGCCATGATATTCAGAAGGTTTTCTTTGTCTCCTAAACCCTTATCTCACATTGTTGGTCCTTGTCTCTGACCTACCCCCCATATACTTTCTATGCTTTTGCTTTATAATATGGGTTCATCTCCTCTAAGCCAGGATGAGGCAGGGCAGATGGTGTGGAGGCTCACTCACCTGATGAGTGTGCAGAACTGTAAGAACGATGGATTCCTTCGCAGTCCTACAGAGAAGAGAGGGAACAGGAGAGCAATGTATCACGCAGTAGGCATTCACCTAGTACAGGAAGCAACACCAGAATTTGCTCCGGGTTGCATGGAGCTATATGGATCAGGACAGAGGGCAAACTGAGCATCTGCATGATGTCTTGCCTTGCGTTTGTGGAGGCCAAAGCAAACCATCTATATCAATTTACACAGGCATCTGGTGATGGGATCACCATTACCTTGGGGGATGTCATTTTTCAGGTCTTATTTATTTCTTCTTACATCTTTCTGTAGCAATCCAAAAATTGCGGGAGCAATTTTGTCTGTAGACTAGAAAATTCTCAAGAAAACAAGACCTGAATTATGAAACTCGAAGGGCATACAGCCAGAGAGTCCAGGGAACCATGTATGATGGTTATTGTTGATTTTGGCATTTAAGCAAGAGGAGACTCTCAAAGGAAAAACCCCAAGGATGTCATTTGGTCACCATGACTCACACTCACCAGATTTGTTTCAACTGAGGGACCAGAAAACTAGAGCCATGGAGGAACAGATGGAAGCCAGGACTCTCCTGGTAACAAATATTCGAAAGGGTGAAGAGTTTCAAACTCTTCTCACAAGAATTATACTTGTACCAAAGAAGCTATGGAGTATGGAAATTCACTTTCAGGAATACATCATCATTTAAAAGAATTAAAAGAAAGGAAAGCAGTTTGCCTGAAAGCACTTCCCTTCTCCTGATTGGCCTTTTGCGAATGCTTATTGGAATAAAGGCATTCAAGAAGTAGAGTCAAATGCCATTAGTTCCGAGAGTCAAGAAATAACTGGACCCACTGATGAAGGACTCTGAACATTTACCATATTTGGCAAGGCAAAGCCCAGGCATGAACAAGCTGCAAGGTTTGGGAAATTCCCAAGAGAAGTAATGAGTTGTGATATAGGGCAACTATAGAGGAAAACCTTTTATCTTGAACAGGGAAGGAACACAACATAAATTCCATGGCTCACCTGCTCCAGCCTCTGCAATCTTTCCCCTTTTCATTTATAAGAAAGGCGCAGTCCTTACAGTGGCTTACAAGACTCTCCATAATCTGCACCTGTCTTTCACACTACCCGCTTTACCAAACACCAGTGACATTGGCTTCTCCCCCATTCCTCAATCAGGCCAGACACACTGCTGACCTAAGACATTTGTACTGGCCCTTCTCTCTCCAACACCCTGACCTCTTTCAAATCTTTCCTCAAATGCCACCTTCTCAATGAGGCCAACACTGGCTATGCAGTTTAAAGTGACATTCTGCACCCTGTGCTCAGCACTCCTTATCCTCTTTTTACAGATCTATTTTCTATTCTTGAACAATTATTGACTTCAGAGATATGGCTCAATTATTTATTCATTATACTCATTGTTTATGATGTATCACCTTATATTAGAATGCAAATTCCAGCAGGCAGGATCTTTGTCTCATCCACTGCTGTATTTTCAGTGCCTAATGGTGTCTGGTACCTGGTAGATGCTCAATAATAATTACTGATTGGTTGAATGAGTGACTCACTGGCCCTTAAGGTTATTAAGAGTAAGCTCTGCTTTGAGTAAGAAGGAGCTTTGAACTCCTTCACAAAACCAGGCTACATTGTATAGTGTGCAGAACTATCTACTAGAAGCACAGCAGTGACTGCTGAGGGGTCAGGCTGAATGAACCCCAACAAGCCCTGATCGGGCTCACTCACCCCATATTGGTGTGGAGATGGAGGATAAAAGGTAAAATGCAGAGGGTGAAGCATGGGGAATGCAATGGACAACTGAACTGGGAGAAGAGACAAATGAAAAGTCACCTGGGTTTATTTGTGTTTGTGGTTTTGTATTACTATTATATTATTATTATTATTATTATTATTATTATTTTGCTGATGCTGAGGATTGACCCCAGGACTTCAGGCATGCTAGGCAAGTGTTGTACCACATTAGAGGTTGTCATGGACCAGATACATTTTGAAGTATTGAGCTAGAGAGGCCATAGGCCAAGAAAGACCTGCTCAGGGCTTTAGGACAGAGCACTGCAAACCCATTGGGAATAGATGAGAAGGTGCTGCACCATGGAGAGAATGTGAGGTCTGCCTGTGAAAGCCAGGGAGTGACTCTGTGGCCAGATGGGCTTTTGGGAATCCTGGAAAGGTAAACGCAATGAAAATACTTTGAACCAAGAGGGGCAAAGGAGATGGAGCTGGACTACACAGGTGAACAAGGGAGGGGCAAAGAAGAGAGAAGGAATATGGTTCCATTTGTATATCATCAGCACAAGATATGGTTCTAGGTGGAAGGAGAGGGCAGCCAAGGTCTCCAAAATGGAAGTGAGCCCGCAGAATGCAGTCTTCAAAACTAGCAAAGGGTGTGTGCATGTGGCATGTATTTCAGGAAGGGGTGTGTACATGGTATGTGCATGTGTGTGTAAGAGATGGGCAAAGACAATGTGGTCCCTCCCCGTTCATAGGTGGTGGTGGATGCCCAACACTCCTTTTCTTTCTCACCTGTTCCCACCCAGGGAGGAACAGGAAGCATTAAAGTGATTCAGTCACTGTGAGCATAATGCACAGTGGCAGGTCTCCCTTCTGAATGCGCTGGCTGGGTACCATAGTTTTGTTTTCCTTATGTGTGCATGATTTTCAGAGAAGATAAGAGGTGGGAGCAATGTTTTGCTTGCACTATGCTTATATTATTGTGCTTTTTAGTAGCTTGATTCTCATTGGTTACTTGGTCTATCCCAAAAACAAAGGGGCAAGTGAGGAGATGAGTTGGGGAGGGGTGGAGGTAAGGCCCTAGTGGAAATATTGTTGTGTCTGCTTGTACCACTGGAGCAGGCTGGTTTCTTGTGTGAGGTCTTTGCGTGACCCAGACTGGCTGGCCCTGAAGCTGTGGGTGTCTAGGACCCATAGCTATGCCCACTCTGCCTCTCCCAGGGCCAGGGAGCGTAGTGGTAGTCCTAATGTCACTGGTGGGGCAGGGGCAGGGACACTGCTCAGTTACTGTCAAGGCCCCAGAGGCCCCTATTACCTGATGAGTTCTATGAACCTCTCCCTGGGGGCTTCACTCACGTCCTCCTCATTAATAGCCACAATCTGGTCACCAGCCAGGAGCTTGTCCTCAGAGGGGCCTCCTGCAGAGGAGAGGAAAGAGGCATGAAGGCTTAGAGCTGTTGCCAGGAAAGCACAATTTTGGGCAAGAGCCACAGTGCCTGAGGGAGCCAAGCTGAGGCCAGCAGGAGATATAGGCTGAGGAAGGTGGCGGCAGGGGTGTTATTTCCAGCTGTTGCCTGTTGCCTATGGCAGATGGAAGGCAGCAGAATGAAGAGTGAGGCATAGATTTCCTTTAGCTGCATGTGCTGTGCTGGCAAAAGGTCCCAAGCTTGGACCTCATACTCCAGTGAGATTAGTGTTTTACTGGCTTGGTTCTACAGAGGAGCACAGACTTCCATTTTATAGGAAGGATTTGCTTAGGCACAAGGAATGACTTTCAGACTGCAACTGCTGGAGGTGGTATAGGTGATACGAGGAGGGGGAGGAATCTTGTAGCTTGAATATTATTTATACCTACGAGTCTGGAATGGTCTAGGCATTCACTTGCTTGGAGACAGGGGTAAGGAATAAAAGACGTAAAGGTTTAATTTTGTTTAACACTGCGTGATGCTACTCTCAAATAAATGAGGGAGCAATACACAGGCTCTTGGGCAGCTGGAAATTTGCTTTCTTCCTTTGCCATCCCTACAGCTGAAGTTAAGAAAGGAGATGTGTCTGAGTGCCATGTTTATTAGGATGAACAGTATCACAAAGCTGTGTGGCCTCTGCTATTCAGCAAAGATCTTCCTGGAGAAAAGTTACTTTCAGAGACTCAAAGTGAATGGGAGGTCAAATCTAGCCTGACTCAAACCTGAAAGAAATGTTTAATGGCATGTTCCAGACTCAAACCAAACTCGACTCTTATTTGTTTCCACTTTAAATGCCCTGATTCCAATGTCTTTGTCTCTTTTTAAAGAAGTCTGGTACTCAGATTCCAAAACCATGAATACACATAGCCAATATGTGACCTGAGCACAGCTCACCGGCTGTGGAGCCTGGGTCCCCTTGTGCCAATGATGGCTAGGTTGACACAGCTGGCAATAGTTGTGTCTTCCACAGTAACAGCCCCAGGCTCGGCAGACCACATCTCACAGCACAGGACTTCAGAAAAGCAGAACACGGTTGTTTCTTTGAGACAGGGTCTGGCTATGTAGTTCAGGCTGGCCTTTAGCTCACTTTGTAGTGCAGGCTGGTCTCGAACTTGCAACAATCCTCCTGCCTCAGCCTCCTGCATGCTGGCATTACAGGTGTGCACCACCATTCCTGGCAGGAGGGCTTAGCTGTGAAGAGCATGTTCTTCACAGGTGACACACCTGAGATCTAATCCTGAACCTGCAATTCACTAGTCATAGGACCTTGGATGAGCCATTGAATGTCTCTGAGTTTCTTACCTCATCTGTAAAATGGTATAATCACAGTTCCCACACATCATAAGAATGTTGGGAAGATAAGGTGATACATGTATGTTACTTAAAACAGTTTATTGAGGTTCATAAGGATACAGTGATAGTTCTTACATCCTCCAGGGGACAATTCCTTTAACTTATTACATTCTTTCTCTCTACTCCTATCAAAAATATCCATCTCTTAGGTAGAGACCACTCTACCTATTTCCCCTTTCTTCCTCCCACTTTCTTCCCTCGTTCCCTTTTGATGGATGCAAAGGATGAGCTTCTCACAGAACTTAAACCTCCTTTACTGGAGGCAAGGCAGCAGCAACCCGCTAGTGCCTTTACCATGGCTCGTTGGCTTGCTCGACCATGACTGCTACTGTATGGGATAGTCCTTTGTCTCTTTTTATGGCCTCACACATCCTCTGAAGTAGACATCCTCTGCATTCAGCTGTCCAGCTGCCTGGGTAGAGGCAACCATGGGAATCAGCTGGAGGCTTTTTATCGGGCTAAGCCTGTCCGTCTCATGACTTTCTGTGGCTCTCGCCTGGGCTGTTTCTTCTCTTCACCCCTCTAACTTCTTTCTCTTCATCTTTTACTTTTTCCAGCTGGTCCCCTCCAGGCCTGGGGCTCCTGTCAGCCCTGTAAATTCTGTCACCTTTGAAGGTAAAGCAGAAGCTTCGGATAGTCAATTACTAAGTTTTCTCTGGTCCCTCTTTCCCAGGACAAATGTGACTTCTGATCAGACACTCGAAAGTCTTTTTCTAAACTGCATGACTGACTTGGGAGCCTGAGGTCAGTCACAAACTCCTGTACTGAAGTGTTTTCTTTCCTTCTTTTTTTCTTTTTCCTTTTTTTTTTCACTCTGTGGCCTCTAGTTGAAGAGAGCTTACAAACTCTTTTTCTTTTCCTTTGAGGATTGCAAAATTCATCAAATTTCTGCAAGACCAGTTAGTACTCCAGCTGCTTCTTGACTGAGTGAAAAACTGTTGTAAACATCTAAAGCCTCAGGCCCAGCAAGTCAAGAATAAAGCTCCTTTCTGTCTGTCTTTTCTGTCAATGCATAGCAGATTCAGAGCAAAATAGTGTTTTACCATTCTTATTTCATTCATGAAGACAGGGTTTCATGGGGGGTGTCTTTTGCTTGTTCCATCCTTCATGGTCCAATTCAAATTCCACTCCCCCCTCATGGCATCACACACAAAGCAAATCCTCTCTACGACTTCCTTGCTGATTGCTTCTGGACAGGCCATTTCTCTTCCTCAATGCCTCAGTTTTCTCATACATAAAACAGGAAGAGTATTACTTACTTACCTCATAGGCTTGGCTGTGAGGATTAAATAAGATAATGTAAAGTGTGTAGCAGATGCTCAATCAATGGTAGCTATCATTATTGCCACTCTGAAATTCAGAGATTTTGTTCTCCTATGCCTCTCTTATCCCTTCTGTTATTTCTATCCTAATTCTCATCTTCAGTAGCTTATCTACTTCGTGAGTATGGACCACTCTCCACAGCCTGATGGGTTGATTCTGGAAGACAGGAACTGTACTTTATATTTCCCTACACCACTGATGGGCTTAGGGCATACAAGTCTAAAAATACGTGTTGAATGGAATTGAATGGGACTTTCTTATCCAATGCACTACGACATTTCTATGAATGTTCTATGCCAAGAGAAGCTTTACAAAGACTCAGACTCTATTAAATAATCCATTTTACTTTCTGTCTATGGCCCCACATGGCATCAATAGTTTGTATCTTTCAGGCATTCGGGTAGTGGGGGCATTCTACGGATTGAACTCAGGGCTCTGCCCTGAGCTGTATCCCTAGCCCTTTTTATTTTTTATTTTGATATAAGGGCTCACTAAGTTGCCCATGTGAACTTGCAATCCTCTTGCCTCAGCCTCCCAAGCAGATGAGATTACAGGTATGCACCACTGTGCTGGCTTGTCTATCAGTCAAATCTAGTTAGGGATTGGCAAGTCTTTATCCTGTGAATTCCTCAGTGACACAGCGGACTCAGAGTTTCTACTCTTTGAGAAGACAATGTGGGTTTTGTGGGTGGGAGCCAGGGCTGGAGGGTACTCTGAGGCACACCTACCTGGCCTCACAGAGCGAACCACCACAGGCCTCTCACTGCCGGCCACGAAGCCGAAGCCATATATAGGGTCTCGGCGAATGGTCACTTGTCGCAGCGTCTCTGCTGGCAGATGCTCACATTCCATATCATTTGTGCTCTCTTCCTGCATACATGACTGGGAAAGGGGGAAGATGGGAGCAAAACAAGATGCAAAGGGAACTAAGCCTCAGAATCAGCTGCAAGAACAACTGCTCAGGGGTCTGGCTATGGCAACTGAGAGTACTGCTTCATTTCCTACATCTTCTGGAACCAACAGACATAATGACTGCTTCATATTTTAGAATGAAGAAAGAAATCTAGGAAAGAGCAGCCACTTGTCTTCAGGACAGAAGCCAAGAGAAGAATCTGGTGCTATGGAGTCTAAAAGCAAGAATCAGACCCTTCCTCTAAGACACTGGGACTCTAGAAGAAGCCTATGTAGGTACAGATGTGTTACTCTAAAATTAACTGGTATTAGCCATTTCAATTGACTATTAACTCCCAAAAGGAAAAAAAATACCCTTGAGGGAATGTGTCTCCCAAACAGAAAAATAAGTGGGAAAGAAATGTGAAATCATTCTAGAATGTGGAGCATCTCCCGGAAGTCCTTGTGAGTTTTTAAAGTTTAACATTGCTTAGGTGATATATAAAAAGGATTTATTTAAGTGGCATAAATAAACAAGTATGCTCACATTTAGGACCATTACTTTGTACAATACACTATGCCAACTTATTTCATTTAATGGAACAGCTGGAAAATGGCTCCTGGCTCCTGTGAGCCAGAAGGGCAGCTGTGCCCTGGGGATGCTAACGGACCTGAGACTCAGGAGCTGGAGAAGAGAAAGCACCACAGTAACACCCGGGAGAAATTACAGATGGTTCTCCTGATGCCTACAACTCACATTACTGAAGCTTAGGAGTTCCCTGAGAGCTTTATAAAGTTTGCCCATCAAAGGCTTGGGTGAGGCATGCTGCAGGCAAAGATAAGCCTGAGTGTAATGCTCAGATGAAGAGCCCCAAGGAATGAGGGTGTGGGCTCTCAGGGCCTGTCAGAACACTGAGGGCTAGGGACAAGGAAAGAGGTATGCAAAAATGGGAATGATGGGCAGGGCAGGACACATGGAGGTAGAAGAGAGGGGACTAGAGTCAAGTGACCCAGGGCTTAGCTCCTTGACATGGCCCCACTCCTGCTCCAGGTTTTCAGGCCTACAGCTAGGCTGAGGTTCCCTAAATTCAGCCTGTGGATCCTCTGCAAGGAAGCTTCCAGGGAGGGCCCTTCAAAACAAGATATGGAGGGCTCAGCATTAATTAATGAAACAAGGAGAGTGAAAGATTTGTAAAAGAAGAGGGAGGTTTTGACACTATGAGAGTGATGTAGTTGTTGACTAGCTAACAATACAAAATTTGTCAGTGGCAACTGTTGCAGCAGGTAGGTTGTTTATCTGGATACAAGTCAAGTAATTAGAGCAGAACTGTAGGGCTATCTATGGGGGCAGGGAGACTGAAAGTATGAAAGATAAATTCATAGTCTAGCAAAAAAAAAAAAAAAAAAAAAAAAAAAAAAAAAAAA